AAAAAAAAAAAAAAAAAAAAAAAAAGAAAAAAGAAAGAAAGAAAATTGGGCTGGGCATGTCAGCTCAGAGCAAAGGCTCTGGGTTCAATCCCCAGTGCAAGAAAGAGGGAGAGGGAGAGGGAGGGCCAGAAAGAGAAGAAGAGACAGAAAGGGAGGTGGGGGGAAAGAAGGAGAGAGAAAATAGAAAAAAATGATTTTATTTTTAAAAAGTACACCTGTATTACAGAAATACATTCTCATTTTTAAAAAAGATTCAAACATGGAAAACAGTGTAAAATCCTTCCCTCCCCACCCCAACGTGACCACTTTTCTTTCCTGTCCCAGCTGTGAGGAGCCTGAATTCTCTCCAGACATTTTTCTAGGCATTTGTCACGTACAGTTGTAAGGTTTTGTTTTCTTCTGCTAAAATGGGATGCTGCTAGCTGTTACTGTGTAATTCATGTATTTCCAAGCAATCTTTTCATGTCAGTACATGTGGATCTATTACATTCATTTTTAACCACTCCACAGAATGGCACAGAATGAGTATAATTTGGTTATCTAATGAATATTTTGATTTCTACTTTTTCTCAGCACAAAATAATGCACTTACAGAGTTTATAAAAATACGAGAAAAAAATCCTTATGGAATATGATAGCCAAATTCTACATGTGGCATAATTTCGACTACATAAATATATATATATAAAATGGAAACAGACAGAAAACAAAAATAGCATTCATTTGCGACTGGAGAACAGTGGACTGACTATTGGAATGTTTACATGCTGGGAGAGGGTATAGCAGAAGGCTGTTTTTAAAGATGAGCAAGTCTTAGCTACCTAGAGGGCAGCTGTCTGGATTGGATGGTGCACTTGTTACCAGGCTAGCAGCAGCACTAAAACCCTCAGCCAGCCAAGATGAGTCAGGGACAACCAGTGCCCCCACGGGAAAGAACAACAGTTACAACCGAGGCACCGGCCTGAGGACACAATGGGATGAGCTAGAAATCCAAGAACTGACAGCACATGGCTACACTAGAACACAAAGACAGTATTCACCACAGCGACACTCATCCCCCAAGTGGAAACAACCCAAGTCGCCATCAATAATGAATAGATGACATGAGGTATAGCCACAATGGAATATTATTTAGCAACCAAAAGGAAGGAAAGATAAAGCTTAAATACATTATGGTAAGCTAAAGGAGCTCATGAAAGGCTACACATAGTATAATTCCATTTATAGGCACTGCCTAAAATAAATGTATCCACAGAGACAGATGAGTGGTTGCCAAGGTCTAAGAGGGGTAGGAAGAAATGGGTGTTAACTATTAAAAGGAGTTTCTCCGGGGTACGACAAAAGTGTTCTGAAATTAAATAATGACAATGGTTAAACAACTCCATGAATGCATTAAAACCACTGGATCCTATGCTTGAAAAATGGAATTTTATGATATATGAATTATG